CATGGAATCATAATAGAGAATATCGTACAAATCATGAATAATTTACAATTTTATCATGCAATATGTTTATGATATGCACATGTGACTCCAAACGTAAAACTTTAAAATCATGCTTTTGACTCAAAATAAAAAATTATTTTTGACTCGAGTGCTCCATGGAGACTCATTTGAGTGTCTAGTGAAACCAGAGCTTAACATCACCCTGTCCGGTGATTCGGCAATGTCCCACTAAACGCGAACAAGTAGACGAGTAGTCGAGTGTCGGTGCACCCGGCAGCTACCACGGCACGGAATCAAATAAAGACCGGCCACTTATGGAATTGCCCATGCCCAAACACTCCCTAGACCGGAGGTCCATCCCCATAGACCGGAGGTCCTGTCTTACCTATTCTACTCCCCCATTTACTATCGAGATTCCGGTAGCTCAATTTTTAATAATTCATTCTCTCGTCTCATTTGGCCAGCCATTTTCATAGTCATATTTCACTACCGAGATACTCTTGATAGTAAATTGACTCACGAGAAAATGTAAAAATTCTGTTTTACACATCATTATTCCTACCAACCGTCCTTGGTAGCAACTTAAGAGAAATTTCCAAATACTTTTCCGTAAAAACTTTTCCGTGACTTCCGAAACATTTCATGCACTATGTTTATGTCTCGTATGAAACAAAACAATCTATCATCAATTAAATACTTAAAAACATCTCCTTCATATATTCAAAATTTTAATTACAATTCATAGTTGTTTTAAGCAAGACAAATTTTATTAATAATTTATTTCATAGGGTTCAGTGTTTTGTCCATATCTTGAGTTCTAGACCTCATTTTAAGATGATTCCAATTGTGTTGGAAAGATAACATAATAATCTATAACTTTGATGAAGGCACTATCCTCAAATTCTAACGTTTATTGAGTCGTTTTCCTAGTAAACAAAGAGGGGTAATATACTTGTTTGACTTTATCTCGATTTTACCCTTGATCTTTTGCAAAAATTCCCACCTAGTCCTTTCTTCTTCCTTCTCTCGCTCAAGCGAATACACCGGTCGTTTGAGCGAGATGGAACCCGAGAGTCCCCTTTTGTTTGAAGACTTCGTCGCTCAAGCGAGTACATCGGTCGCTTGAGCGAGTAATGACCCTTAGTCCCCTTTGTTTGAAGCTTTCGTCGCTCGAGCGAGTACACTTGTCGCTTGAGCGAGACATGACCCTTAGTCCCCTTTGTTTGAAGCTTTCGTCGCTCGAGCGAGTACACTTGTCGCTTGAGCGAGACATGACCGTTAGTCCCCTTTGTTTGAAGCTTTCGTCGCTCGAGCGAGTACACTTGTCGCTTGAGCGAGACATGACCGTTAGTCGCTCAAGCAATGTAATTATCGCTTGAGCGATAAAGAACCCGAGAATCCCAAATTTTCCAGGTATCCTCGCTCAAGCGACATATTTTTCGCTTGAGCGAGTTTTGCGAATTTTCATCGGTTCGTCATTTTCGAAATCCAAGTTTCAAATTTCTCAGTTTCAATCACTCAAATTTGTTCCAAATCAAAATTAAACCATAAATATGTTCAATTTAAGTTAAAAACAACAATTTTATTATATAATTCATCCTTAATTGAAAGAAATTCAACAATATTTCAATCTTTGCAATTGATGAATAGTAATCTCCAATTACGATACATTCGTATGAATAAAACTAAACGTCTAACCCATACCCGATTCCTCAATATCTTATTACTCTCCTAATTTTGTATGCTCCTCCTTTCCTCCTTTCTCTCTCGGTTTATTCTTCAAGTTGGTCGTGAATTGTGTTGGTGTATGTTTCCAGCTTCCTCCTATTTATAAACTTACTCACCGACTTAATTCTTTCTAGGATTTTCTTCGCTTGTCTTTATTCTTCACCGCCTTAATTTAATTCCGATTCTTCACCGACTTAATTCAAATGTATTTAGGCCACTACCAGACCTTCTGCTTTCTCTCTTTTTTTTTTTTTTTAATATTTATTTACTCATTTATTTAATTTTTTTATTATTAAGAATTATTATTAAATTATTATTTGACACAATATTAACCTTGGATTTTATTTTATAATTTTCTTAAGACAAAATTACTATAAAAATCATGTTTTATTTTTATAATAACTCTACATAATATTCGGTACATATTTATAACTTACAAAATTTATTTATATAATTGATTACAAAATTTAGGATATTACAGGTCCCGTTACCGTCTGGGAAATTTGTTGTTGGTTGCAGGTGGGTGTTTGCTATCAAAGTTGGACCTGATGGTACTATTGATCGCCTCAAAGCTCGTCTTGTGGCCAAAGGATATACTCAAATTTTTGGGTTGGATTATGGAGATACCTTTTCCCCGTGGCAAAGATGGCTTCGTTCGTTTATTTATCGCCATGGTCGCTCTTCAACAATGGCCTCTTTATCAACTGGATGTTAAAAATGTTTTCCTCAATGGTGATTTGCAAGAAGAAATATATATGGAGCAACCTCCTGGGTTTATTGCTCAGGGGAGTCTTCCGGGATGGTATGTCGTCTTCGCAAATCCCTATATGGCCTAAAACAGTCTCCTAGGGCTTGGTTTGGAAAGTTTAGCAAGGTTGTTCAACAATTTGGTATGACTCGGTGTGAATCAGATCATTGTCTTTTATCGACACTCGAGTGCTTGGATGTGTTTACTTGATAGTATATGTTGATGACATTGTTCTTACAGGTAGTGACAACCATGGGATCTCTCGGTTGAAACAACATTTCGTCACCATTTTCGGACCAAAGATCTTGGCAAACTTAGATATTTCTTGGGTATTGAGGTAGCACAGTCCAATGATGGTATTGTTATATCTCGGAGGAAGTATGCCATAGATATTTTGGAGGAAACTGGGTTGATGAGTTCAAAGTCCGTTGATACACCCATGGATCCCAATACTAAACTTCTACCAAATCGGGGGAGCCTATATCCGATCCCGAGCAAGATAGAAGATTGGTTGGAAAATTGAATTATCTTACAGTTACTCGTCCCGACATTTCCTTTGCGATCAGTGTGGTAAGTCAATTTCTTAATTCACCATGTGAAGATCATTAGAATGCGAGTCATTCGTATCTTGAAGTATATTAAAGGATCTCCTGGAAAAGGATTGTTATATGCTTCTAATAACCATACAAGAGTTGTTTGCTACTCAGATGCTGATTGGGCAGGATCTCCTTCGGATAGAAGATCTACATCTGGATATTGTGTCTCCATTGGTGGTAACTTGATTTCATGGAAAAGTAAGAAACAAAGTGTTGTGGCAAGATCCAGTGCGAAGCAGAATATAGAGTTATGGCCTCAGCTTCCCGTGAACTTGTTTGGCTCAAGCAATTGCTTAGAGAGTTACAATTTGGAGATGTCACTCAAATGACACTTGTGTGTGACAATCAGAGTTGCTCTTCATATTAGTTCTAATCCTGTCTTTCATGAGAGGACCAAACACATTGAGATTGACTGTCATTTTATTCGAGAAAAGATTATGTCTGGAGATATCAAGACCGAGTTTGTTAACTCAAGTGATCAGTTAGCAGATATTTTTACTAAATCTTTACTGGGTCCTAGAATTGATTATATTTGTAACAAGTTTGGCACATACGATTTGTATGCTCCAACTTGAGGGGAGTGTTAGATATTGTTTAGATATTATTTGATATTGTTAAGATATTGTTAGATATTGGTAACCACAATATCAAACAATATCTTCTGTTTATTCTGTTACTTTCAGTTACTCTTTTAGTTGTATCTCTCTACTATAAATAGACCACCCTATGTGTGATTTATACACAAGGGAAATTAATTCCAAATCCTATTTTCTCTATATTCAACATCCTTCAAGAAAATATTATTTCATAGAATTATTAATTATTTATTAGAATTATTAATTAATTGAGTATAGTAACATGTCTTCAAGCTCACAATTCTACCCTTCACTTCCATCTACTCGGTATATATATATATATATGTATATATATTATAAATAAGATATTAGAAATATGACTAAACCTTCTAAAAACTATTTTCTCTTTTATTTTATCTCAAATAATTTAATAAATATAACATAATATTTTTCATACTGTAAATATTTTATTTTAAGTTAAAGAGGGTTAAATTATCTCCTCATGAAAATTGCTTGGCAGAAAATTTGCCCAAAATTCATCTATGAGAAACATTGTTTACTAATTTTTTAAAACTAGATCAAACTTAGTAACATATTTTTCTAACTTTTAATTAAAGAAAAATTCTTCAGTCGTATTCCTCCTTTAAATATTGGATTAATCTCAATTTTATAAGTGTTTATGATATGTAGTAAGGTCTCCAAATTTACATCACTACTTAGTAAATTCTATCTTCAAGTGACATTTTTATTCTTTAATCTCTCTGAAACTTAAGGTCATTATTATTTTAGTATTTTTTACTTAACTACTCGTTAAATATTCTTTTCCATTATTCTAAAAAATAAAATCACTATTTTAATCCTTAATTTATTTTAAATTAAATAAAAAAATTAAAGACAGTACAATGACACGCTATAATAAAACACTAGTGTCACCATTGATGACACATGACAACATGGACCAAAATAAAATATTTAATTTTTAAAAGAATGAAAAATTACAAAAACCAAAATCAAAACTTGATCCCTCTAGACTAAGATCATATTTAACTCATTCACTTTTATTCTCATCAAAGCCATTGAAAGTTATGTCTTTGTTGCAAACACCAAAAATGAAGTTATGTGGATTATCATAGGTCTAAATTTCATTGTTAAAAGTCTTTTGATAGTTAAAATTCATACCTTTGTAGAGAGAGAAAGCAGACATTTTTCTAGGAAACACTGCTTCTAAGCCCCTCAATCTCCCATTTTATACAAACCATCACCAAGACAACAGCTCCATTCCTAAAAATGGACTTTTTCTCTACAGGGATTTTTCTCCCAAGTCAAATTATTCACAAGGAAAACACCCTCCTTCTACAACTTTCTTGTCATACCATACTGAACAGGACCAACCTTTCTATGTGCAGTGGCCCCAGCTGCAGCACTGATTCCACCATATGCCTCTGGCTGCAACAAGTTTGTATCAATGACTATTTGATCACCTTGCTCTAACTTGTTAACTCCTGCCCTTGTCATAAAAAAGGGATTTGTATCAATATTAATAGCTATATCTGGTTCCCTCTTGGCATTAACTCCACAGTGTTGTTGTGCATGTTTTGCTTGCAGCACACTCTTGTCAGCTTCTGTTGCTAACCTTTCTTGGTTTCCAGTGCTGGATCTTTGATGATAATAGTATGCTGGGGGAACAGCTTGAGTAGGAAGCAAAGAACCTCTAATAAACGACCTGGGATCAGAAGAACCCTTCACAATGTTGTCATACTCGTGTGCAACAGGCCCCGCAACTTTACCAGGTTTTGCTGAAAAAAGAGATTATTACGCTTGTTTGTTTACTGTTTCTATCAATTTTCTACAAATGGCTCATTGAAGATGATACTGTATAAAAAGGATGACAAAGCATTCATTAGTTCTTTCCGTATTTTGGTGTCTAAAAAACACTTGTTCTGAAAACAATTTTTCAAAACTATACAAATTTTGGATAAGAAATTGATTGCTGAGTAATGTAAAGTTGTTTTAAAATAAAAATAAGGGAATCAAACACGCCCTTCATTATTGATCAATGATCATGCACGTAAACTTAACAAACTACACTGATAATAACCACATACCTTGGGGAATTCTTTGTGATCCCTGCATTGACCTTGGCACTAAAATTTTTGTATCTCTGGAATTCCTGTTGTATTCCTCAGTGGTTGGTCGGTTTTTGCAAGCAGCAATGTTTGTTTGATCTTTTGGGTGTGTTGTATTTGAATGTACAACTGTTGGCCTGTCAATAAGACAAGCATGGGAATATGATCAAATATATTGTTCTCTCTTTACATATCAACATCAATCATTAAGACTATCAAAAATGGGCGGCATTGCCCAGCCTAATTTGCCTCTACCAATAAAATTAATTTTTATTTAAGATATAATGATTTAATATATAAATTATAAGAAAAAAAATCACTCAATCTCAAAATAAGAGTTCAAGGTTGTTAGAGAATTACTCAGCTATTTACTATTAGAATAAGTGAATCTTTAATCAAATTAATTTATAATACATATATATTTTTTAATAAAATAATATTATTTTTATTTAAAAAATAATTATTATTCTATAAAATAGGTTGACCCATTAACCTACAGATTAGCTCGAACTAAGTCAATGCTCATCATATCGACCGGATCAAAATAGGTTTGATTTAATTTAGGCCACAAATTTTTTCGTCTAATCTAGTCTATTTATTGGGTCTACCCATCGAGTTAAACCTATTTTGACACCCTTATCAATCATAAAAGTCATAAATAGTCCCTCCATTTCTTTTCAATTATTACACTTTCAGTACAATTTTTTGCTATATATCTATCATTTTTAATAAATCACTTTTTAACAATCACATATTTTGTAAACATAAACAACCAGACCCAATATTAATTAATCTTAGTCAATTATACCCCTATTGTCCACTTAATCTATAATTAATTTACATATATGTATTTATTGTGAAGTAGAAATAAAAATAAATAAAAAATAAAAAGTTATAATAGCAAACTTTATATCTATTTTATTGGGACCAAGAAAACTTATTACATTTCTCGGTTTCTACATAAAAACGTTAAGAGACAGATAACAGAGAACAGAGAGATTAGAATGGGTTATGGGAGCAAATGCATCATGGAGTTGGAAAGGTTGATTTTGGTCTACCACATTGTCATTACCTGCACATTATGCTAAGATATTGCAAGAGCAGCCAAATACTAAGGTTGGGAAGTTACATCAACAATAAGTGTTTGTCAGCTATAAATAAATGTTAGCAGGCCTGAACAAAGGATCTGCAACTCCTAGTTGTTGCCATTTTTTGTAACTTCATTTTAGAAAGTGAGTCGGTCACATCTATGTACAATAACACCATTCTGTGGTCTACAAATAGTTACTTCGCTATTGTAAACTGTAATAACATCCAATAAAACGGATAAGAATTTACTTGCATGTCAATATTTGATAAATCATGACCAGAATCATATCAGTGATTTGTATTATAGGACTTTCAATCTTGTGATTACCATCTTAACATAAGCATAATGTAATAAAAAGTAACCACTACAATTGGAACGCATCAAATGTCACATGAAATACAATGAGCAACTGCATTTATCAATCAGAAAATTACCTTGGAAGAGAAACATGCTTTCTATCAAGTGGCATAACAGGACCATTTTTACCACTTTCCTCTAGATGTGCAAACTGCTTTTTAAATTGATCAACAGCACTGTGAAGAATTGCACCAAAAGTTAAACCAAGATCAAGTTCAAATATGACAATTATCAAGAAGGCGAGGGCTAAAAAGATAACATGGCATAAACAGTTGAAAAACCGATTAAGAAAATAAAAACCTTGGATAAAGAAAATTAGTTCTTGTTCCATTCATATAGTCTTCCAATAGTTGAGGATGATACTCTAGAATCTCATGGAAAATCAGTTCTCGAATTTCTTCCTTAGTGATTCTTCGTCTTTCAAATTCAAATTCCATTTTTGTTATAGGCTGGCAAGATGGCTCTCTTTCAACTTTTGCCAGCCCCTTGAAGTAAGGATCAGCCAATGCCTGAACACACAAAAATATATTAAACACAAATGTCAAGATACCACATTATAGATTGTTATTCACTTTTATGATTCATTATACCCTTTTATTATCCACATATAGATACCGCATTCCAATGCACATACATAGGCAATAGAGCACAATGTAACAAACCTCTTCAGCAGTAGGCCGGTCTTTCGGATCAAACGCCAACAATCTTTCCAGTAACCTTAGTGCTAAAGGGTCTGCATTGGGAAACTTTTGAGAAAATAGCACAGGCTGCTTTTTCCTCATGCTAGTTAGGTATCTTCTTGCTTTTTCATTACGTACCTGCATCCATCACAAGAAATGGTCACAAGATAGTTTTGGAAACTTTTGGTTCAGAACTAAGCTATGCAACTGAATTGGTCCTTTAACAATTGGAGAAAATACTCACCCGTGATATAGTATCCATTGATGGTGTCCCAAGCAGATCTGTCATCAGGTCCAATTGGTGGACTACATTTTTCCCAGGAAAAAGTGGCTTTCCCATTAGTACTTCAGCAAAGATGCAACCTATACTCCATATATCAATTGCTGGTGTATACTGCATTAAGATTTACTAAAAAGTTAGACCTACAAAATGTAAATCTAAAAAATGGTACCACTATATTGTATATTATTATGAACATGATGGTAAACCATGAAAAATATCCCTTCTACAAACAATAGACAATATGTAACTTTATTTTTACAACTAAATAAGATAAAAAGTTCTGTCTGGATTATTTAACAACAGCCAATATACACATAAATAGATGTTTTCCCTTAAAGCTCTATTAAGCAGTAGAGCCCCTTGTTTATTTACTATGCTTCATGAGTAAGTTCAATATCATCAACCCTATGAAACAATAATGACACCCAACAGAGTGTGATGGAAAAGAAGATATAAGAATGATATTTGATCATGGTATGGTAAGTCAACACTATGTACATGTACTTTGTCACACGCTTATACAATGTCTACATAAATCTGCAAAATCCATACCTTTGAGTAAAATGATCCACATAGCTCTGGAGCTCTATACCACCTTGTAGCAACATAATCCTACAAACGCATGCATTAAACAAGCAAGAAGAAACATCAGTCTCTTCCCTCCCATATAATAACAAAAAAGAAAACAAGAAAAGCTGAAATAAATTAAAATATAAGCCAACGATGAAAAATGTTTAATAAAAAAAATACCGTCCAAAATATGGTTGTTGGTGTGTCACTGAAGGCAACTCTAGCTAGCCCAAAATCACATATTTTTAGCTTACAGTTTGCATTTGCCAGGATATTTTTTGGCTTCAAATCTCGATGATAGACATTGGCTGCATTGGTCAACTTAAGAATTAGATATGCAATATTGACATCAATGCTAGCATACTAGTTAAGAAATAGACAACAAGTGTACGTATGGGGAGGGTCTCACATTTTGTCAAAAACTAAAAAGTGTGCAATTTTCAGATGATTCAAGGGCAAAGTGAAAATAAAAAAGGAAACAAAGGCAACTGATAAATATAATAATGTGCACAATCCTGATATCTCCATCAGTAGGAAAGCTGAAAAATAATTAAATTTCAGATACAAATTCTGCAAGTAGAAGTCACATGTTATAGGCATTAACCAGAAAAAGTGAATTTACATATACAAGTATAACATAGCAATGTTTACCACTATGAATGTACTTTAGTGCTCGAAGTAATTGATAAAGAAAAAATTGATAGTGTTCTTTTGTCAAGTCATCATTGGCTTTGATGACTTGATGAAGATCAGACTCCATGAGCTCAAAAACAACATAAATATCTTTAAAGCCCTTCTTTGATGGGGGCAGTATAATGTGTTTTATTTCTACAATATCAGGATGTCGAAGAAGTCTGAGCAGCTTTATCTCACGGAGAATTCGATCAGCGTCAGATATATGCTCGAAGATGTCATGAATCTTCTTAATAGCCACTTTTTCACCAGTGTGAGTGTCAATGGCTGAACAGACAACACCATAACTACCCTTCCCAATGACTTCTTGAATCTTGTACTGGTTGGCATCACCATATTCAGAGAAAAAGTCCATCTCTGTAGCTTATTCCCCATATCAAAATCCAGAAAGTTAGAATTTGAAAGTCTGAAAACATTCACAAATCAAACCAAAGCAACAAAGTAAAACAAAAAATTCAATATAGATAGAAATTACAATAAAAAGCAATTTTTCCTTCTTACATAGAAATTAACACACATTATAAAAGAAATTGTTTGAGAATTCACATTATAAAATTACCATCATATCAAGAGTCATAATCTCATAGAAACTCAGATTCTATCTACAGGAATATGATCATTTCCATGCACATTGGAATAACGCAAGCAAACTAAGATATATTAAACATAAAAACATACATTTGGACCAATCATTGAAACAGTCAAGGAACTAGTTCAAGGTATAATGGGTTGAACTAGGGTCAAACCAGCATTAATAAAATTATTTTAATAATAAAAAATACACAAGATAATTAAAAAAAAATACGTAAAATAATAATTTTATAATGCTAAAAACTAAAATAAAACATAAACTTCTAGGTTCTTGACATTTAAAATACGTATAAAATTTTAAATAAAATATGCATGTCAAGTTTAAACTGAAATTTTGATAAGGTACATCAATATTTATTAATAAAAGCAAGTCTATATGGAAAATAAAAAAGAAAATAAGTAATGGTTTTGGTTGATTTTTATCTTTTCTTTTTAAATTTAAAATTGTAATTTTTTTTTTTGTTGAACCATATGAGACCGGTTTTGTGCATCACCGGTTTTCCACCACAATCAAACCATTGAACTAGCCGGTCCGGTCCTAACAATCATGGCTTCCATGCAACTCCCTCACCTCCTATCAGAGGATAAAATCATCAAGGAGAAATTTTACCATTTGATACCAATAAAATATATGTCAATTCATTTAACACTTCAAAATCAAATACATATTCCAATGTTAAATCACCACTTATTGTTTAACTCTGTCTAATTTACATGGAAGCAAATCAGGATTTTCTATTTTCTTTCATTTCAACAGGAATGTACACACTGATTCTGCAAGATCAACCATCAACACACATAAAATCCACATTCGTTTACACACTCCAAATCCCAACTCTGTAAATTAATTAAACATAAGTAATTGTTCAAAAATAAATAAAACTCATTCCATATATTCTGTGTAAGAAGGAAATGCAGGCACAGAGAACATAGAATAACAAGAAACTTAACAAAACAAAAACAATTAGTAGACAAAATCTTATCCAATGGAGAAAAACTTGTAAGCATGTAAAGAGGAATGCCACTTGGTATGACACAAATTTGACAAAGCACAACTCAACAAGTGTGGAAAGAGAAAAATAACACATGATGGGGTCAATAAAACAACCCAAAAAAATAAACGATTTAATTCGTTAAAAGCAAGTACATTTCATCAAACCCTCCAAAAAATGCTGGAAAAGGAAGATCTAGCGGGGCCAACCATTTATCTCTCGTGTGTAAGAAGCATTCTAGAGAGAGAAAGAGAGGAACAAATCAAGGATGGACTGTAAGGAGGATACAGTCTCATCAGCTAACAACATAACCTCATTGAAAAATTCTCAGCATACACCATTCATTAACCAACAAAAGCACGGACTCATCACAGTAAAAAAATTTATATCTCACACAACATTCGGATTAAACAAAAGCACACAAAAAGCAATCATATTTCCCCAATCCCAATTACATATTACAAAGGCAATAAACACAAACCACACTATAAAAACTCCACCTTTTTCCGGTGATCTTGCTGCATTTTCCCGACACCCAAAAATTCTCCAAAACCTACCTATGGAGTGAAGATCAAGCCCAAACTGAACAAAACCCAGGTCCCAAGTTTTCCTCCCTCAAAAAACAAATCTCTCACACCCTTTTTCTCACCCACATTTGCCCTACCTATCCCTGCTCATCATCACAAACCCACAACAATCCCAGCTTCCTCTCCCTTTCCCCCAAACCCTTCTTCACCAAACATAGAACCCAAATGAGATCCCACGTGCACCTTCCCTCTCCAAAACCACCAAACTTCAAATCCAAAAACCACCCTCTATCATACACTCCACCCCACCAACAAAAGCACTCTCATTTCCACACAAAAATCCACTTTTCAGCTACCCTCAACAAAAAAAAAAAAACACAATTTGTTACACCCCCACAAAGCCAAACCAGAAGAACAACAACAGAAAGCAGGTGGCAAGATCGTGTAGTGAGGGCATGAGATCTGCTAACACCGACAAAGAAAGAGAAAATTGAGATTTTTTTATTTTTTTTATTTTTTCAGAACTGTGAGGCTTAAATCTAGGTGGTGCCTTTAGTATATCTTATCCGTAACGTATATCGAGAGATACGTACCTGAAATACACATACATATGCATACGGGTGTTGTACTGTTAATTGTTATATAAAAATTGGGGTGCGTGTTAATTTGGTAAAAGAAAGAGGGTATTTCAGTAATTAGCGGCACTCGAAAGATTACTCTGATGGAATTATTTACATATCCCTTTTGAGACTTACAGGTGGCATGTTCGACGAGTTCAGGACACGTGGAGGGTTCTTAATGGCTTATACTGTTCGATGAGTGCCACGTGGCGGTGCTGATGTTTTGGAAGAATTAAATATTTAGTTTTGTAATTTTATATTAATTAACTCATCTAATAAAAATTGATTTGTAAAATTTATTTATATATTATAATTTTATATTAATAAATTTACTTAATTAAATAAAATTTTATTTATGCAAAATTATATCCGTTTATATATTATGTTTTAATTATATTATTAATTAATATGAAATTCTGAATATACTTTTTATGTCAAGAACTAGATATTTTAAACGTAAAATAAAATATTTAGATGATAAATTTCGAATTAGAAATAATACGATAAATTTAATAAACTTTATTATAGCTATGGCATTACATGTTCATCATCTTATTATTAATTTCTTTAATAAAAAAACTATGGTGTCAAATTATCAATTCACTTAATAGCATAACTGTTTTAGTCTTATATAGATGAAGGAATTTTAAGAATTTAAATTCAGGTCGTTGTTCACGTGGATAAATAATTTAATTAAGCATTTATTGAGTTGTGTAATTGTTTCTGGTGGAATTTCGATCAATTTCGATTCTAAGGGTATTTTGGTCTTTAATCGAAATCCTCCCACGTAAGCTTTTTTTATTTAGGCTAGCAATTTGATTTTCAATCGAAAACGTGTATGAGAATCGAAAATTACAGGATATCGAAAATGCTGTTTTTGGTATTTTGTATTTAAAGTATCGAAAGCAGTAAAAGCATTGAATCAAGAAACAATGTTAAATTGCAAGAAAATGTAAAGAGCGAAAATCCAAATTTGCATCAATTGTAAATGACGAGGAATCGAAAATAGTGCAAATATAAATGACAAGAAATCGAGATTTGCAGAATGTCAAATAACATGGATATGTAAATGCAGAAACTTAAACTTTCATTGAATTGAAATGACAAGGTATCGAAAATACAGAAACATAAAACCGCTGAATTTAAGTTGCACCAAAGTAAATAACCAAGGAAAATACGTAAAGCGGTAAATGTACTCGAGTGAGCAAAGAAATCCAGATTGCCGAAGCTTCATGGTGTTCGTCGTTTCTCCGGTAGACTTTTCACTACCGATTCTCGTTCTCTGCCAATTCTCGCTCCCCTCTGTTCCTTCCTCCTCCGCACTATTTATAGGGCATCATTCAAGCCTTCCAGGAGCGGTTAACAAAACCGCTACCACGTTCTTCGTGCGCGTTGCAGTTTCTTCTTCTGTGGTGTCAAAACTGTATCCACGTTCCCATGATCTTTAACTTCTGCCACGATTTAGAAACTGTTTCCTATATGCGTGTTTAACTCCTCTTGGTCACGATTTTGATTTATGTGGGTTAACCTCTTTTTCGATTTAGACTTCGATTTTATCGAGAACTTTGGATTTACTTTTGATCCCTTTTTTACCTTAGCATCATATACTTCTAATTTCTTGATTTGTTCCACAATAAACTTTTGACTATTGTTTCTCCAATTCTCGATTGTACTTCCTGATGTTGTGTTACGTGCTTTAGACATCGAATGGTTTTTTTATCAGTCACGTGTTCTCTCTTTCCTTTCCTTCATTTTCGATCGCTTTTCTCGATTTTCTACTAACAAAATGCCCCCTTGGAAGAATATAAATGATTTCTGTTTTATATTCTTTCAATATTCCCGCCTTAGTGTTTGAAAGCCCACAGGATTTAGGGTTTAGGGTTTCTGGGGTTCTAGGGTTAAAAAGGGGTTTTAGGTTTCTTTTCCACTTTACGTCGTCGTCTCGTCAGTCTGTTGCCTTTCAGTACAAGTTACATTAATTACATTTCCCTTCCGTCGCTTCCAACTCCCTAGACGATTTCCCTTTAACCTTTCCTTGGTCTTTACTCTGGTCTTTACGCGAACTATCACCCTCTTTGCAATCTCATCTTCTCCTTTGAGCTCCTGCCTTCGTCCCTGTTACCTCATCCGTTAACTCTTCCATTTCTGTTTTTCTCAGCTCACTACAATGGCCACTTCATCCAAGTCCTCTGATTTCTCGACTCCCCTCTTACCTCATCCATCGCTACCTTGCTCGGAGATTAACAACCAGCCAGCTTGCTCCCCGCCTCCGATGGAGGAAGCTTCCAAAAAGATTGCTCGAAACGCAGGTATTAGTTCCTTATACTGTTGAGGGGGTTGGTTTTGCTTTTGGGGGCCCCATTCTTTCCGGTAGTGGAACTGTTTCTCCCCTCACCCTCTCAAACGACCTCGCTCTTGTACATCGACCGAAGTTAGAATCGATTTTCTGAACCTTGTTTCTAAGGTGTATCGGACAGGCCCTCCCTCCAAAAAACCTTTGTTCACTAGATGGTTTGATAGGGTCAAGGCTAAATTTGGGAACTATTGGAGGAACGTGGGGATTTTCGATTTTTTACACTTGTCTCAATGTGACTTGTCCTACTTAGACATGGCTATGTTTTTGGC